TTTGAGGCTGTAAATCTTCATGGGAGGAGACTGTTCATGTTTCTTCCTTAGATTCCCAGGTGGATTCGAAGAGCCTAGTGCATGTGACCTTTTGGTTAATGCCCAAGCGGATATGGAAAATGCCACCAGAGCACCTCCAAAAGATTACCACATGAAAACCCTGTGGAGTATATAGCTCTGCTCTGTAACCTATGGAGTCATCATGAGTTGTCATCGATTTGACAGTAGGCCATGTCTATCTGATGGTTTGAACTCACCAGTGACCAGAAAGGTGGGCACTTCCCCATGGTATTTACAGCCTTGGAAACTCAGTGGAGGGTTAATTGTGAGCCGGTCCCAACTCTGGCGATGAGAGTTTCCGTCCTTGAAAATGTAGGCAGAGCATGTTGACTCCTTGTTGTTGTTAAGTGCTGTCGAGTCGCAAGGTGACTCATAGCGACCCTATGAAGGAGAGTCCTCGATGCTTAGGTGTCTTTCATCCTCTCTCCAGGTTCACAGGGTTTCCAGAGGCAAGCTATTATGGAAGTGGATGCCACTCCTCCTTCTACTGTTGACTCCTTACTCAAGGAAAACCCTGAAGGAGATGGTTAGCCACAGTAGACTTTTAAGCACAGCAGAAATTAAGGATCAGGCAGGATCAGACAGGATTCATTCTGTTATGAGTTTGGTTGCCCTGATTTGATGACACCTAACAACAACTGTGCTCTGGTGGGCTAGTGTGGTAAAGAGTTGTACTGCCAGCCCAAAGGCAAGTGGTTCAAACCCACCAGCTTCTTCAAGGGACATTCTCCTTTTGTGTGATTTACATCCTCTGAAAATCCATTGGAGGATCAGCTATGAGTCGGTTCTGACTTAATGGCAGAGTTGAGGTGAACAACCACTACTGCAGGAATAGCAATAGTGCAAAAGGTTAAATGCTTGACTACTAGCCAAAAGGCTGGCAGTTCAAACCCACCAGAAGACAGCAATAGACCTCCTCCTGAAAAAGATCAGCCTTGAATATTCCATTTTCCTCTGTACATACTAGATCTCTGTGAATCAGAATGAGCTCAACAGCCATTAACAGCAGCTCCAGGAATGAAGAAAATTTGGTTTGGCAATGTCATCTTTGCACAGTGAGACCCTGCCCGACTGGCTTCCCCTGAAGTTCCTGATTGTCACAGTCCAAGCGTGATCCAGAGTCCTGGAAGCTGTGGCTTCCAGTCTCCTCAGCTGTGCCTGCAGGGGCTTGCACCTTCTGTTCCTTCTGTCTGGAGTGCTAACCCCCTCATCCTTTACAAACTCTGCTCTTTTCTCAACATCTTGATAATCAGCTCGAAGATCACCTCCTTGGGTGAATTATAGAATTTATGTTCTGAAATCCAGTTCAAAAAAAAAAAAAAAAAGAAATCCAGTTCATCAGTTGTTTCTCTTACTCTATGATATTGAAGTTCTATGTGGTCTGTGACTTTGTCTTTTTTTTTGTTGCTTTATGTAGGCTACTTGGCAAAATAGTCATAAAAAATGTTTGTTGGATAAACAGATTCATTCTGGTTCCACTGGGGTAAGCACTTAACACAATGCTTTTGACTTGGAAAAGAGACTAGTAAACAGCACAAAACCATGGTCCTCCACCGTGACTGGATAGTATGCTGGGCTCCACCCTAAACCAGTTAAATTGGATGATGATTGTTGTTTTTCTTTTAAAGCTCTCCAAGATTCTAAAGCAGTGAAACAAACAAAACATTATTTTAGAGGCTGCAGGTCTTTACAGGAGGTAACCTGTAAAATAGTACCTGCTCATCTTTGCCAAGAAGCAGCTGAGGGAGTTGACCCTCTCACCTTTCTGTTTGTATGCCACCAGGGCTCCCTTCTAATACATTAGTAAAAACTAACATCTGCGAGTTTACTTTCTATGCTCTCAGTTAACTTTCATCTGCAGTTAACCACAATCAGAATGTAAATTGTGCTCTCTGCTGAGTAGCACAGGGAACTCTGGTGGTCTAGAGGGTGAAGAAGGGCTGTGCTGCCAACCCAAAAATGTAGACGGATTAAATCCACCATACGCTCCTCAAGAAAACTATGGTAAATCTCCCAAGCAATTTAAAGCTTCTGAAAACCTTCTGGAGGGTCCAGTATCAGTTCTAACTGTCATGCATGAATTAGAGTTAGTCCTAGCAGCATGATGAAATCATTGGCTGCCTTGCTATCTAACCCTTCTCCCTACCAGATCATTCCCTCCTCTTCTCCTGGGAATGAACCCGGAAATTACATTGGATGAGTTCCACACCAATGGCATCTGAGGGGTTAATACCACTGGCTCACCTGGGTACTCCAGGGTCTGTATGTTTAAGAAGAAACAGAGAATGTGGTGCTCAGTACTGTCTATCCATCGTGGATAAGCATCCATCGAGGGTTTCGGAGTGTATTGCTCATGGAGAACTGGGGAGACTGCTATGTGCAGTCTGGGCTGAAAAGCTTTTGTTTGACATTAAACAATGAGGTTAATGGTGGTGGTGGTATTATGTGCTGTCTAATGGACCCTGTGTACAATGGCTCTGAACTCTGCCCTATCTTGAGCCAATTTCATTGTCTCGGACAGGGAGCCCTGATGGTGTAATCCACAGGGAGTTGTACTGCTAACTCAGAGGCCACACCCCCGCCACTCTATGAGAAAAAATGGGTAACCCCTTCCATGACATTTACAGCCTCAGAAAGCAGTGAGAGTCAACTTGGTTCCAACTGTATGGCAGTGTGTGACAGGCATGGCTATTTTGAGTGGTACAGGTACTGAGTTAAGTATTATCTTGCTAAATCTCATGATTATTTCACGAGAGTGATGTTGTTAGGTGCCGTCTAGTGTCTAGTCAGCTATGACCCCTAGTGAGCTTATGAACAACAAGTCATGCCCTATCCTTCACCAGCCTCCTCTGTGATGCTCAAGCCCAGTTCATCTCACTGAGGGTCTTCCTGGCTTTCCTCTCCTTTTCTAAACATATCTCTCCCCAAAGACTAGTCAATCTTTGAAAATATGCCCAAAGTGAGTGAGATGAAGTTTCTCCATCCTTGCTTCTAAGGAGCACTCTGGCCACAAGACAGATTTTTTTTTTCTTTTGCAACTCCATGGTATATTAAAAGCCATAATAACATATTAAAACATCTGTGAGAATAGGTACTATGATCCCATTATTTGGTGGAGAAATTGAGGTTCGCACAGATAGCAGGTGGTAGAGTTGTAATTTGAACCCAGAAGTTTGTGCCAGAACCTCTTTTAACTGCACACTACCTTGATCATAATATTCATATGAATAGCTGTTACTGTTATCAAGGCAGTGGATCCAGACTCTTTACTTACAGACTCACAGATAACAGCTTCTCCTCTTGGCAGCTCCAGCAAGGGATCCCTGCTCCTCCCAGCACCTCTGGTAGCCACCTGCCCCCCACAATCCTGCCCCTCCCCACTGGTTTCTGTCTGTCCTCAGTTCCCCTGAGGGGGAGGCCCAGTAGAGTCAGCAATCCTTATCTCCCAGACTGTGCTGCTGGGCTTTTTCCCTTTGGTGAGGGAGGAGGGAAGTTGAAAAGGGAGTGCTTGGTGATTGTGGCAGTTACTGAGCTGGACTTGGACCAGCTTGTCCTGACTGATCTCAGAAGTGTGTGGACTGAAAGGGGCCTGAGCAGTCAGCCCAGCCACGTTCTTTGTCTACAGTTGAGGCTGAGAGTCTCGGTTACTCTCCCAAGTCAGGACTTTAATGGGTACTGGCAAATGTGGAAGAGGGGAATTTCTTGTCCAGTGAGGGACGTCGCTGTGGTTTGGATAAATGGCTTTAAGGGCTAGTGCTTGCCTCCCTGTGGGAATTAACAAAACAAGTGACCTGAGAGGCAGCAGGAGGGTGGGGAACTCTTCCTTGGATCCCATTCTATGAGTAGAAAGAGATTCAGTGAGTACATGACTCATATGCATGCATTTGTCAACTCTTGCACACATCAGAATAGCTGCTCACATCAGCTTTGCATACCCTGCTTCAACTCCTACCAATCCATTCTGATTTCTGCCTTCTCCACTGATAGTCTGAAAGAATTGACCTGGTCTGATAGTAAGAAATTTTAATGCTGGAGATTGTGGGATCACAGAAGAAAGGCCTTTTGAGATATAGTAGTTAAAATGTCCCCACACTGATCTATTATCAACTCTGCAAAATCACTGACCAGTGAGGGGGCAGTGGGCTTGGACAGCTGAATTAGACAGCGTTCAAAGCCAGTTGATAAGATTTGTACTTCAGAAAGTTTACCCTGCTGATAGGATAGATAGATAGGAGAGGGCAGGCTGTGGAGGCAGGAGGCTGGGGATCGTGTTCAGGCCAAGGATGGTGGTGGTCTGTGAGGTGGCAGTGTTGAGAAGAGTGAAGAAAGGACAATGGAAGAGTGGTTAAAGTTGTATTGAGAGAGTGCTGGTGGCCTAGTGAGTGAGATACTGTGCTGCAAACTCAAAGGCAGTGCGTTCAAATCCACCAACTGCTCCGTGGGAGAAGAGCATTTCCTCTCATAAGATTTATAACCTCTGAAAACCCACTGGAGGATCAGCTATGAGTTGGTTCTGACTTGAAGGCAATGAGTTGAGCTGAGTTAAAAGCTACATCACTCGTTCCCTAGAGTGCTTGGTTACTAGGATCTGGGTTCAGATGGCAGGAGGGCATTTTCCTGGTCAGGAGTTTTAAACCATACCTTATGTCAGTTCTCTAGAGCTGTCCAAAAGCTGCCCCCCTGGAAATATACAACACAGTGACTTCTCAGACCCCTCCAGCAATCCTGGGTTACTGCCCAGTTCCGGATTAATCAGCCCTGTTTCGCCTTTGCCCTTTCTCCACCTGCCAAACAAGGTGCATATTTCCCAGCTGGCTCCTGTATGCCAAGTGTACCTGAAGGATGGTTTAAAGCTCAGTGTGGTCTCTTGTGTGAGGAGAAGGAAGTTAAAGTGATAATTTCTCTTTCACATCGTCTAACCAGGATGTATTTTCTCTCAGGAGCAGAGGGAAAGACGGTCTCAGGTAGGACCTCGAGGGCCCAGTGCCTTCATCCCTGTGAAGGAGGTAAGTTTGTAAGGAATGACTACAGTCTGTGGTCTCTGGGAGGAAATGATGGGCCATTGGGTGGACGAGAGTCTTTTCTTGATTCTTAAACTAGCAGTTTTGAAATTATGTCTTCATATTCCTGATTCATTTAGTCCACGAAACAACTCTGCAGACTAGGCACTTTCAGCCCATTTTATTGGGAAGAATCAGTCAGGAAAAGGTAGAGTAGTAAAAACACAGCCAGGCAATGATTAAACTTGTGATTCCTGGGTCAAGATCATTTTTTTTCCTTAAGAAAATATAAGTGTTTATCTTCTCATCCTTGACAGTAGTGTTGTTTTATTATCATGTGCTGCCAAGTCGCTTGCAACTCATTAGCATCCCTGTGTACAACAGCTCTGAACTCTGCTCTATCCTGAGCCAAACTTATCACCTCTGACAGACCCCTCCACCCCCTGCTACCCCAGTCACTGAATAAATGCATCTCTTCCAGGGTCTTATTCTCTTGTGCTGTCCCTTTACCCTCCAAAGCAACATGGTTCCTCCTTGCAACATGTCCAAAATCTATCAGAGGAAGCTTCAGAATCCTTGCCTCCAAGGAGCAGTCTGCTTTCAACCTCTCCAGGACAAATCTGTTTCTTCTCCTGGCAGTCCATGGTATATTTAGTACTCTTTTCCAGCACCACAGCTCAAAGGCATCAATTTTCCTTCTGTCATCCCTAGTCGTTATCCAGCTTTCTGATGCATAACAAGTTATTGCAAAGACCATGGCCTGGATCAGGCGCACCTTAGTCTCCAGACTGACATTGCTCTTCAGTACTCTGGAGAGGTCTCTGTCAGTACTCTGGAAAGGTCCCTTTCCCAATGTAGTGTGTCTTGATTTTCTGGCTGCTGGTACCAAGAATGTTGATTGTGGACCCAAGCAAACTAATATATAGATGAAAACATTTTACCACCTAGTTTAAAAGTAATATGATGTCAGGCAAGGATTCTGCTTTGGACATGTTGTAAGGAGGGACCAGTCCTTGGAGAGGGATGTCATGCTTGGGAAGGTGGAGAGACAGCGCAGGAGAGGAAGACCCTCAATGAGGTGTATTGATTCAGTGACTAGGTTGGTCAGGGTGGGTATGTTGACATAGTGAGATTGGCACAGGATAGAGCAGGGTTTAGGGCTGCTGTACATAGGGTTGCCATGAGTCGCAGGCAACTTGACTGCACATAAAACAACCTATGTTCATTGCAAAGTAAATGCCAGAATTTCAGGAAAACTCTGGTCTCCTGTAATCCTCACAGAGATAATCCCAACTATGTGCTGTATATTTTTTCAGATGAATACCTAAGTCATAGTCTGCAACTTGAGTTTTTGTTCGCTTATTTTCACTTGATGCAATTGAGACTTTTCAGTTCACTTACTGGTAGTATGACTCATCTGGGCTAGGCGCTGTTCTGGGTGCTGAGGACACAGCAGCTAACAAAACAGCCAAAAATCAAATCACTGCCATTATAGAGTTCAGAGCCTAGTGTATGCATGAGTGCGTGGGCCAGGCCTGTGAGGACCTTCAAAATGCATGCACAAAAGACACCCTTTCTTCCTTTCCCTCTGGCTTTTAATCTACACAGATGAATGTTTTATTTCTGTGTCCTTTTGCTCTCCTAAATGTGTAGGCCAAGTGGTTAATGAGCTGTTAACAAACGTTTAAATGCCCAAGTCTTCTTCCCCCTTGTAAATTTAAGATGAAGAACACCCACTGCCTTCTTCAGTCTTTAACCCAGAATTTTAGGCTCCAGAATTATTCTTGTGCTTTGTTTTTCATGTGTAAATAGTCATTCTCCTTTTAAAATAAAAAGAAAGAAATTTTAGTGTTAAAATTGCCAGACCTGTGATCTCCAGTGAGGAACTAAATGTCAGTGGGCCTCATCAGTCAGCGGGAAGAGAATGGTATTCACCTCACTGGGTGGTTGGGAAGGTTCATTGAAATAGTGCAGGAAATCTCTTAGCGAGCTCCAAGCTCCTCAGCACCTGACGTGGGAAACATCCTCAGGAAATGGGGACTCTTGCACAGCCCCACTTCCCCTGTGGTTGTATGAATCAGCAATGTGAGAACAAAAGCTGCTTGAAGGTAGGAGAAATTGTACTTTAATCTCTGTGTCTGTTTTCCTATCTGAAATTAGTGAGGAAAAAAACTAGGGAGAAATAATTTCATGAGTATTATGAGGATTAAATGAGTTAATACATATAAAGTTCTTGAACGATTCACAGCATATAGTGGCCATTATATAAATATTAGCTATTACTAGATAAACTGCCTAATACATACTTGTTTAATTGTGCAATGAAATAACATATCTTTTCCTCCCCCAATCTCCCCATTTATTGGGATGTGAAAGTGATTTTCAGTTTCTTCTGTTGTAAGCCGACAGCCATCAACACATACGCGTCTCTTCTGGGGAGGCCAGGAAAGTAACCCATGTTTCCCCCTTCTTGGCAGATTCTTCGGGAGGGGCCTGAGAGCCTGGAGCAGCACCTGGGCCTGGAGGCGCTGGTGTCTTCAGGGCGGATGGATAACCTGGCAGTGGTGATGGGCTTGCACCCTGACTACTTTAGCAGCTTCTGGCGCTTGCACTACCTCCTGCTGCACACGGATGGACCTCTGGCCAGTTCCTGGCGCCACTACATTGCCATTATGGTGAGCTGGTCTGGCCTCAAGTTGTGGGAGTGGGTCACATGGGGCTTTCTGTCCTGAGATCTCTCTGCTGGGCACTTGTTGACTGGGTTCCACAGATGAGAGAGAGAGAGAGAGAAAGCATAGAGCAGAGGAAAGCCTGGCAGCCTCTGACCATCACGGAATTGTAGATTTTGAAGAGAGCCATTTTTAGTGCCTATTTTACAGATTGGGAAACTGAGATACAAAGGGGTCAGATGCCCAGCGTCACACAGCAAACTGGTAGCAGTGAAGGTTAGAATTACCTAGAGTCCCCATTCCCAAACTACAGTGAGACCTGTGAGGTCCCCTATGTGGGTGTCTACCCTGAACAGAGCAGAGCAGAGAGGGTGACCCAGGCTCCACATTTCATTCCACAGGCAGCAGCTCGTCATCAGTGCTCCTACCTGGTGGGCTCTCATATGGCTGAGTTTCTGCAGACTGGGGGTAACCCCGAGTGGCTGCTGGGTCTCCACCGTGTCCCTGAGAAGCTGCGCAAGCTCAGCGAGATCAACAAGTTACTGGCACATCGACCATGGCTTATCACCAAGGAGCACATCCAGGTAAAGATGGTGGCAGACTCAGGTCCCCGAGACAGGCCAAGCTCAGGACAGCACAAGCATAGGGACTGAGGAGACCTGGTCTTCCTTTCCCTCCAGGCTCTCCTGAAGACGGGGGAGCACAGCTGGTCCTTGGCTGAGCTTATCCAGGCCCTGGTCCTGCTCACCCATTGCCATTCGCTGGCCTCCTTCGTGTTTGGCTGTGGCATCCTTCCTGAAGTGGACCCAGAAGGCAGCCCTGCCCCCCAGGCACCTTCACCTCCCAGTGAGCAGAGCAGCCCTCCAAGTGGGGACCCACTGAACAACTCTGGGGTAAGTCACTGCTTGACTGGACCTTGGTAGGACCCAGCCTTTGATCCTTTGATAGAAGCAAGGATCCTGCTTCCTTATCTCCTCACACTAAGAGGCCTTTGGAAAGTTACCTGACTTTGAAGTTTAGTTTCCTCATCTATGAAAAGGATATAAAGTGGATGGTGAAGGTTGAGTCTCTGTGAGGATTAGAGAAAATAACCATTTGACTGGCCTTTCAGTCAGATCATGAGCTGCCCAGCACCTGTGCCTGGAAGTTTGCATGTGGGAAGAGGATGTAGAGTTTCCTGGGACCAAGGGCAGAGGACTAGATGGTCACCTCCAGGTCCTCTCTGCCAGGGCTTTGATGCTGCCCGAGATGTGGAGGCTCTGATGGAACGCATGAGACAGCTTCAGGAGAGCCTGCTGCGGGACGAGGGGGCGTCCCAGGAGGAGATGGAGAGCCGCTTTGAGCTGGAGAAGTCAGAGAGCCTGCTGGTGACTCCCTCGGGTATGGAATCACAGGCATCCAGGATTCAGGGGCTACCTCCTCTGCATTTGGTGCCACCTCTGTTCTGGAAAGCAAGTGGGTCTTGACTGCCCTCACATTAGGTTTTTGAGCTCAGGCTTTGGAGTCACAGTTGGATTTGAGTTCGGGCCTCTTCTCCTTTTTCCTGTGCGTCCACTGACAAGTCACTTGCTGTCTCAGCCCCTCACATATGAAGGATTGGTGTGGAGGATAAAAATGGGACCTCAGAGGTAAAACTCAGCACAGAACCTGGCCAAAGATCAGCAGCTCCACAAACAACTGCTTCTATTATTGTTACTGGAGCCCTGATAGTGTAGTGCATAAAATATTGGACTGCTTAACCATCCACCAGCTTCTCTATGGGAGAAAGATGGTAGCCCTTCCTGTAAAGATTATTGTTGTTGTTGTTAAGTGCCGTCGAGTCGTAGACAACTCATAGTGACCCTATGAACTAAAGGCCTAAGAACTGTTCATAGAGTTTCTGGAGGCAAGCCATTTCAGAAGTGAATGCTACTCCTGGTTCCAAGCTTGTTTTAATCAGGAATCTCTAGCCAACTCTGTCCACCATGGGACTTGGAAGACTAAGAGAGGGTCATTGTGGGTCAGAATCAACTCAATGGGATTAAGTTTGGTTTGGTTATAAGAGCAGTGGGTTTGTCTCTCTGCCTTGCCTAGGCCTGACTCCTTGCTATCTTAAGGGACTTTTTCTGGCCCTCTGTACCTCACCTGCCACCTTCTGATGGTTTATTAGCAGTAGAAAGGCTATGTGTGTGCTCCATACATCAGCCTCATGAGAGCCTCCTCGTGACATGTTTTCAGCTGACATCCTGGAGCCCTCTCCACGCCCAGACATGCTGTGTTTTGTGGAAGACCCCACTTTTGGATATGAGGACTTTACCCGGCGAGGGACTCAGGCACCCCCTACATTCCGCGCCCAGGTAGGCCTCTACCCTGCTCCATTTACAAACAATTAGGGGATGGACAGTTTCAGTGGTTATGAGATGGGATCCCCTCTCCTCACCTGTAATCTTAACTCAGAATTATATGACAGAAATGGGGGACACTCTTAATCCCAAAGGAACCCATCTATGCTTCAAGTTCAAGGAATTCTGCTGATCTCCAGGAGAAAATTATCACCAAGATGCTTCCCCTTGACTTTTTCTTAGGCTCAGAGCAAGCAGCATGCTTTATTTGTGGGGCGGGCACATTATAGAGAGCAAAGATGTACCCCAGAGATCCAAAGGATGGGCCTTCGCTGGCCAGCCTTGGACCCCAAAGTCTCTGCTCACTGACCTCTTCTTGTGTATGTCAGGATTACACCTGGGAAGACCATGGCTACTCGCTGATTCAGCGCCTCTACCCCGAGGGTGGTCAGCTACTCGATGAGAAGTTCCAGGCAGGTTTCAGTCTCACCTACAACACCATGGCCATGCACAGCGGTGTGGACACCTCGATGCTCCGCAGAGCCATTTGGAACTACATCCACTGTGTCTTTGGCATCAGGTGATCACAAGTTCTCTCACCTAGAGTGTCTGTGGGGTGCAAGTCTTCCCCCATGGTGTTATGTGGTGCAAGAATTAAGAATGCATGGTTTTCCTCTTTTTTCCCTTATCCCATTCTTATTTTTTCCTCTTTTCCGTTCTTATTTTTTAAAAAATTCATTGTTGCTCATTTTCCTCCCTCCTCCTCTACCTATCCTGTCATGCACCCCTTGTTCCTGATTGTCATCATACGCATGATGCCTAATTGTATATTCCTTTCAGTCAGGCAGTTCTTACCCTCCTCTGTTCTACTGCAGTGTTCATTATCTATTGCCTCTTCCCATTCTCTTCTCAACGCCTCCCCCCACCACCTGTCCTGTTTTGTTTTTTTTTTTTTAAAGTTTCACTATGTTTATACATTACATCATATAGTATATATAGAGCTATTAAAAATGTTAATTTCACTGGAATGGAGACACTTGATTCAGCAAAACTCACTACTGGCTATGTAGATAACCTATGTTACCTAGAGTAAAGCAATTTTACAATCAACATGAAAACACTAGCCAAAACACAAATACCAAAAGTGATGTGTTTTGTATGCATCAATACCCTTACTTGTGGCATGATTATAAAATTTCAGGTAACAAAACTGATTAAATACTTTATGAACAGAGCACATTAAAAAGTATTTTGCTAGAGTAATGACGGTTTTATGTATTTTTAAATCTCTATGTGAAAAGGACTATGATTTATTGCAAAGAATTATTATGGAGTAAATCCCAAGGTAAGAATTTTTAAAAACAAATTATAAGTTTACTGTTTAGGCTAAAGTCTTAGTTACTTCTTGGAGATTTGAGAACTATTAAGGGGTAGAGTGCTTTTCCCTTTTTTGACTTCTTGTTCTTTTCTTTTTTCTTTTCTTTCTTCTGATATTTTTGTTTCTTTTGTTTTGAAGTGTCCTCTTCAGTGGAAGTGGAGGAATAAGACCTTTTTCGTTTTGTTTTTTTTTTTCAGTTTGAGTTTTTCTTTGCTTTTTGCTTTCTTCTCTTCTTCTTCATTTATTCTTTTCTTGTAATGCCTGTAATTTATTCAGTTTTTCATTCTCTTCGTCACTGTCTTCACTGCTAGTGCTGCTAACATCCAAAACTATGTCCTTCTTGGGTTCTACTCAGAGAAAATTGTGGCATTCAAAAGTCAGATGACCAGGGTAGCCACATTTTTTACAGCCTGCTCTGACATTGTCCTTGTTGCAACCTGGGACTGCCATGGCACTGGCAAGGGGAGTCGCTGGAGCGCTCGGCTCTCCAGGACGCACTCTCTTCCCGCTGTTCCACAGCAGACTCTCTCCCACCACGCCACGGAACTTGTGCTAATAAGGGCAGGCCTTTTAAAACTCTAGGTATCGCCCACCTGTCCTGTTTTATCACGGCAGTGTTACACAGTATTTGTCCTTTTGTGACTGAGATATTTCACTCATCCTTATGTCCTCCAGGCTACCGCATGTTGTGTTCATTGTTTTTCAATGCTACATAATATTCCTTTGTGTGAATGTACCATAGTTTTTCTATCCATTCATTTGTTGTTGGACATCTGGGTTGCTTACTTCTCTTTGTTATTGTGATAATGCAGCAATAAATATGGGTGTGTATACATCTATTGAGTTGTGGCTCTGATTTCTTTTAGAGTATATTGTGGCTCTGATTTCTTTAGGGTATATTTCCAGTAGTAGAATTGTTGGATCAAATGGTATTTCTATTTCCAACTTTTTTAGAAAGTGCCGGACCTCCTTCTATAGTAGTTGTATCATTTTACACTCCCACCAGCAGTTAATAAAGAGTTCCAGTCTCTCCACAATGTCACCAGCATTTGTTGTTTGCTGTCCTGTTGAACTTTGCTATTGTTGTTTGGATGAGATGATATTTCATAGTTGTTTTGGGTTTTTTCCATTCTTTCTACCTTTACTACTTTTTTTTAAAACTTTTTTCAAATTAAACTTTAATTTAAAAGAATATTTAAAGATAAATAATAAATCTAATAAGTTGAGAATTGTCCTTTTTTGCTATACCAGTTTAACAATTTCTAGATTAAAATGATGGTTGTTAGGTGCCATTAAGTAGGTTCCAACACAGAGTGAAACCTACAAACAACAGAACAAAATAATGCTCAGTCCTCTATAATTCCTAACTATATATGAGTTCACTGTTGCAGGAACGGTATTACTTCATGTCATTGAAGATTTCCTTCTTTTTCATTGATGCTCTATCAAGCATGCTGTCTTTTGTTCAGGGATTAATTAAAATATGACCAAAGTATATAAAACCTGCCAGCCTAGCTTCTATGGATGATTCTGGCTTTAGTTCTTCTAAGACATATTGTTCATTCTTCTGAAAGTTCATGGTATATTTACTAGTCATCACCAACACCATAATTCAGAGGCATCAGTTATTTATCAATCTCTCTCTTATTCATTGTCCACTTCTCACATGCATATGGGACAATTCTAAATACCATTGCATTTTCAATTTATTCCTATTGAGATGTTGTTCCTCAAAGTGACATCTCTTTACTATTTAACATTTTAAGGATTTTGCAGCAGATTTGTTCCGTGATTTCTTGATTGCTGTTTCCCAGTTCACTGATTATAAATCCAAGTAAAATTAAATCCTTAACAACTTTAATCTTTTCTAGGCTTACAATTTTCTTTTGGTGCTGAGTGTAAAAAGTACAATAATTGTTCATTTTTGAACATTATAAAATAAAACCTTTAATCTCACCGCTCAGAAATAACTACAGTTAAATTTGATGTTTTATTTCCACTCCAAGTAGCAGACCTTCTCTCATATTAAATTAGAAACACATAAATGCTTGTAAATAGAAGCCTTTGGTATATACTTTATGTCCATTTAGTGAAATATTACACAGCTGTTAAAAACGCAGAAGTAGTTTCTTTATATTGACTTGGGGAAATGTTCAGAAAGTATTGAGAGAAAAGAAAGCTGGTTACAAGCAGAATCTTTGTTTTTAACTAGGAGAAGTATATGTAGCAAAGGAAAAGACATAGGTTCATGTCCAAGATGTTACTTAGTGTGATTTCTCTATAGTATAGTGTGATGAATTTCAGTTTCATAGTTTTGTTTAAGCATTTCCTTACACAAAATTTTATGTTTTTAAGTTGATGGGATCATCCTTAAGATATTCTATAACTTGCTTTTTCCATATGCTCATCAATTGCAAACCACCTTCCTTTCAGTATTTATAGATCATTTATATTTGTATAGCTACATGGTATTCTGTTATGTATGTATCATAATTATTCATTCTCCTATTGAATATTTAAGTTGGTTGCAGTTTTTCATTATTTCAAACACCATGGGCACTGACTGGCCTTCCACATGAAGCTTTTCTAGATGAGAAGTTGCTTGTTAGGATTGTCACAAAGCAATTATTTGTTTTAACTTTAAAAAAAATAGATTTTCTAAAAGAAAATCCAATTTCATATTCTAGAACATGAAAAAATTCCTAGACTAAGGAGAAAAGCAATTTCCCATGCTGTCCCAACAGCTGCACCCTGAGATATTTTTCTTTATGACCTTTTTTCTTTTCTGTGCAATTGCTTTCATATAAAACCATGTTAGATCTAAAGTTAACCAAACAACCTAATTTTAGAAAACTGAGAAAATATTTACTTATTTATTTGTGTTCAAATGGTCCAATAGAAAAATATCCCAGTAAACACGAGAGGTTTTTTTCTTTTTTTTTAAAATATTTACTTTTCTCATTTAACACTGTATTTTAAGTGTTTACAGTTTTAATGATATGCATATACTTCCATGTATCACTAGTTATAAAATCCTTTTTCACAGGATGGGCTGAGTATTGGCCTTTTTCTTGCTGGTCATTGGCAGGTTTGGAGCCTATAAAAGCCAAGGACAGGTAGCTTGGGAGGTGGCCAAGGCCCAGCTCTCGTCCAGGCTGTACTCCTTGCTCCCATATATATTTTCTTTTCATTATTATTTTTTCTTGGTTTTCATTCAATCATTCATATGCTACCATACGTTTTGAACAAGTCTACCATTTACCAACCAGCCTTTCCCATCCATGCAAACCTGTAATGCTATTGGCTGCTCTGGCTCCCTGAACAGGGAACTGGACAGTTTCCTCTAGACTTACCATGAGCTTTGACTTGGAAGAAATTCATGGTTTTTGCCAGGTTTTAGTTTATTCTTCTGTAAAATGAACACAGCTCCTTTTGACCCCTTTCTGCCTTCTCTATTGTGAATATTTTCACCGACTTCTTGCCCCATTTCCCATAGCCTTTATTGTAAAGTAATGAACGAGGCTGTGGAAAGAGAGCTAGCTTTGAATCACATTTCCAGCTCCATAACCTGGGCAAGTGACTTCATTTCTCTTAATCTCAGTTCTTCCATCCATTTATTGGGATTGATGAAATCTGTTGTTAGACAGTAGTTTTGAAGATCCCACCAAGTATGTGGCACATGGCAGGTGCCCCTTCACTGTGCATCTCCCGAAGTTTGGTGGCCAGGGCTGAATGACATCAGCTTTTTCTAAGAAGAACTGACTTGTTCCTTATCTTCTGCCTATTCTTACTACTCTCTGTTCCCCCTCTTTATGGTGTGAGAGTTGGGCTGGGTGTAGTGACCTCTGGGAGTTGAGGATGAATGACATTGTTGGTGTTTCTCCATCCAGATATGATGACTATGACTACAGGGAGGTGAACCAGCTTCTGGAGCGGAACCTCAAGGTCTATATCAAGACTGTAGCCTGCTACCCAGAGAAGACCACCCGAAGGATGTATAACCAGTTCTGGAGGCATTTCCGCCACTCAGAGAAGGTATAGCCTGTCATGGAAGGGTAGGCACTCTTCCCAGGGAGGGGTTGAGGCTGGAGGAACAGACTGGAGCAGACAAGCCTAGCCAGTGGAGGGATTGGGCATCAGAACCCAAGAACTCCAGACAGACTGGGTCTGTTCTGCCAAGCAGAATGCCTGAGCCTATTGTCCTGTGTTCAAGTTTGATTTCACTGTGTGACTTCAGACCCAGTTTACTCAAATAGGAATATGTGTGTCTGCTTTTCAGAGTCCTCAAAGGCAGCCTGATGGACCTGGGTTAAATGAGAGCACTGCCATTCAATTGCTGTGTTATCTTGGGCAAGTCATTTTGCCTCTCTGAGCTTATCTTTCCAGTGGGAATAGATACTGGCTGTACTTCAAAGTCACTGGTAGAATGAAATAAGGAAATGTATTGAAACTCGTAAACCCTACTAGGCATTCAGTTAGTAGTAGTAGTAGTAGTAGTAGCTTTTGTTATTATCTTGGGAAGATAAAAAGACTAGTCATGAAAAGGATTAATATGCTTAAAATTCTTTAGCAATCATTGTACCAAATTTTTCAGAACTTTAAGAAAGGGCAAGACATCTGTATAAGGGACAGGAGGGGACAAGGTCAGGGACAGTGGTAAGTTGGAAGGAATAGGGAAGGACAGAGTTAACATGGTTGCCAACAAACCATTATCTGTCCCCTAGGTCCACGTGAACCTGCTGCTCCTGGAGGCCCGGATGCAAGCTGCCCTGCTGTATGCCCTCCGTGCCATCACTCGCTACATGACCTGACTCCTGTAAGGACTGCGGTGACTGGAGACAGACTCAGACCCTTTCTATCCTGTGCCCATCTACTCTGCTCTGGGATGGGCTTGTGTGTGACCTGTAGCCCCAAGTCACATCCTCCTTTTTCTCACTGGCATGGACAGGATCATTGCACTGACTCTGGGAACCTGGCACTGCCCTGGGCCCTGGAAGAAGACTAGGAGACCCCTAGGGGGCTGCACTCTCTTTTCCTGCTGCTGACCACAGGAGGAAGAGGGACAGGGAGGATAATGAGGCCACTATATATATGTCCACCAGCAGGCTGGATCCTGGGCACAAGTGCTGTGGCCTCCCTGGACTCGGAAGTCCCTGGCCAGCCCCAGAAGAGGGGGGTGGACTTCTCCTGGGATTGACACTCCAGGCAGCTCTGCCCTCCCCACTCACGATTTCATTACTTCCTTCTGCCATTTGCCCATCAATGTGAAAGTCAGGGTCCCAGCTGGTCTGTGTTGTATGCCTGACTCCCATCATCCTTATCTGTTGGGCAACCTGAAAGCCCCTTCTCCTCCAGTTTCCCTACTCCTAGTGTAGTTCTTTTGACTGTTTCTTCCCTCTTAACCCTTTATTTCCTTGCTTGCTAGTCTGGAGCCTCAGGAGAGAGAGAGGCTAAGCACAAGAACATCAAAAAAAGCAGATGCTGTATCTCTAGAGACTTGGGGCCTCTGCTGATCACTTTGCATTCTGAAGAGAAGGACGTATTAGATTAGAAATTCTCTGCTGTGTGGTCCTTTCTGGTTGAGGGTCACACCTCCTCAAGGCTCCTCTGGAGCCGCAGTCAGGATCTAAGGAAATGGGGAAAGCTGATCTCTATGACTCTGCACTGACTGGCCCCTCACTCTCCTATCTCCAGTGGCTCTGCCAAAGTTGTTTGCCAAAATGCTGAGCCTTTATGGTGGCCCAGATGGCACTGTAGCCCAGCTACTGAGGCAGAGGTCACCAGTGTTCTTGTTGGGCACTGCCACCAGCCAGGCAACCATGACTTTGCTGCCAAACATCTTTTATCTCCCTCTCCATAGTTGTAGACTAAGGTGACTCTAGACTTCTGAGCTGTTTGACTCTTCACCCTGGGATTCCCAGGCTAGCCTGGGATTGGGAAGACCTCTGAGGATCCCTTTCTGCAGTCTCTCTCTCCTGGTTTCTTTCCTGTGTCCATCCCTCGATTTGAGTCAGGTTACTTGAAGGCAGAAGCAACCAAGGACTGATCTGAGACACTTTCTGTAGCAAACAAACTGTGAATTTCTAACTTCTCTTGCCCTTCTTCCAGCAACATATCCCTCCTCTCTGGCCAATTTGGAGGTGACTGAAGAAAGGCAAGAGCCACAATACTGCTGCTTCTGACCTTCCTCTTTGGGGCGGGTGAGAGAAGCTGCGTCAGTGCACCACATTTCACACCCGTGCAGGCACGGGCAAGCAGCTGGTAGCCCCTTCAGGCCTCAGACCTCTCCCTGCGAGGAAGCCGGGCAGGAGGGAAGGGGCCGCTGCACGGGGGCTTGTTTCTGGAGGGGATGTGATGACTCTGTGAATGTCTCCTGAACAGATTTGGGGAGGAGAATCCAGTGTTCAAGGGCAGAAATCTTCAGCTTTGCTATCTATATGACGACAAATAAAAGTTCACCAAGGTTTTGTTTTGCACTTCTTGTTAATAGTCTCTCTTTACTCTTTACACTTCCTAGAGGTCATGGTTCACCTTGGCACAGGCAGGGAACTGTGATTGCATCATGAACTTGACCCGCTGCCCCAGCTCTGCCAGACCCTTGGACCCAGTGACTACAGGGTTAGGAGTGGTTGGTACTCAAAGTCCTCTTGTCCCTGCTGGAATGTCCAGCCAACCTGGAACTGTGGAATAATGATGGCTGTTACTTATTTAATTTTACAAAACCTGGCCTTACGCTGGCTACTTGGGGGTCATTTCTCTCAATCTGCAGCAATTCTGCAAGAGGACAAAGACTCAGGTGAAATGACACTGCTCAGGTGCTAGCACTTCAGTAGCGGAGCACCAGGATTCCAGCTGGGGTCTGCTTGCCCCGAGACCTTGATGTTTTACTTGCTACTTTTCCTAGTCTGCTCACCCTGGTGCAGAAGGAGGTTGTGTGAGGATCCCTGGAGAGACAGTTAGTATCCTCCGTCCCACCACTTTGTGCCTACCTGGCTTAAGCATGAAAGAGAAAGAAGCAGGCATTGGTGGTTAGATGTGACCCCCACCACCACCACCAATGTTGTTCAGTGCCTTTTAGTAACTGTGTGACTTTGGTCACGTTTTGTCTGTGAACACGAGGAACTAGTAAGTTTACCAGGAAAACCACATCATGACTAAGAGCTAAGCCATCTTCTACTTCCTCTAAATACTATGCTGTCATGAAATGACAGTTGGCCTTCTACAGGAAGTCTTCCCTGATTGATTCCATATTCTCTTCACATTTAAAGCACTTCATTTTTACAGTATCCCTTTTGTTGTTTTTTTCTAGAACCATTTGAGAGAGTATGAATGTAAATTAGAGTTGAAATTAAAAACTTGGATTCTGATCCTGATTTTGCCACTTATTAGACATTTGACCTGGAAAAATAGATTAATCTTGTGTGCTACAAATTTCCTTAGCTGTAAAAATAGGAGTGAAATATTCACTTTATCATAAAACCTAAACATGACAGATTTGTGAGCTATAGCCTGGTGCACAAACTTGTTAACTTGATAGTTTGCCTCACCAGGAGTCAGGCCTTCCTTTACTTTTCTGGCTAGTCATTGCTGAGTGTGATTGTGCTAAATGTTTTAAAAATATCTTAAAACAACTATGAGATTATCTCACTCCAGCAACAATAGCAAATTTCAACAGGACAGCAAACAAATGCTGGCAAACTTGTGGAGAGACTGGAACTCTTCCTCAGTGCTGGTGGGAACCTAAAATGGTACAACCAGGATGGAAAGCGGTCTGGTGCTTTCTCAAAAAGTTGGAAATAACAATACCATTTGACCCAGCAATTCCACTACTGGAAATATTCCCCAAAGAAATGAGAGCCACAACTCAAATGGAAGTATGAATATCCATGTTTATTATATTATTCACAATAGCAAAGAGATGGAAGCAAGCCAAGTGCCCAACAACAAACGAATGGATAGAAAAAGCATGGTACATTCACATAATGAAATATTATGCAGAACTGAAAAACAATGAATTTATAAGCATTACACAACATGGGTGACCCTGGAAGATGTTGTTGATTGCTGTCAAGTTCAGCACAGACTCAGCGACCTATGAACAAAAGGCCTGAAGCCTTTCTATAACTATCGACAGTTATCAAAGTTCATAGAGTTTCCGAGGCATGTTGCTTAGGGAAGTGGATGTCACTCCTGCATGAAATATCTCAGTCACAAAAGGACAAACACTGCATAACACTGCTGTCATAAAACAGGACAAACATGTGGAGGGGTTGGGGAGAAAATGGAAAATGAGTGGATAGATAATGAACACTGCATTAGATCAGATGAGGGAAAGAACTATCTGAAAGGAATATATTATGATTAGGCATTATATGTATGACAATATGGAACAAGGGGTGCACTGGGGGATGAAAGGGGGGAAATGTGAAATAACTTTTTTTTTTTAATTTATTTATTTATTTTTCGTGTGTACTGTCAAATTGGATTTGACTGGTACAGGAGGAGATTGTCCCTCATGTGGATTCGAACTGTGTACCTCTGGGATTGCAGTGCGGCTTCTTGCCACTAGGCCACCAGAGCTCCGAAATAACTTTTTTTTTAAATTAGTCTCTTACTCTTCACAACATGGCATTTTACAGATGTGGAAATGGAACCTCAAGTTTCCCTAAATGAGAAACTCGGGGACACCAATTTAGAAGTTAGACACAGGTTAAAACTTCACCACTGACATGTGATGTCTTTTTATCTCTGTGCAAGTCATTTCCATTTTCCCTCCTCAATTTCTTTATCTTTGTTAGGGAACAAATACATAGGTCACAGGGAATTACAAGGATTAAATGATGCGTGAAAACCACCTAGCATAGTGCAGATGCCTGGCATCCAGCACACATGAGCTGTTCAGTTTGCCCAGCGTCATGCAGCTGAGTCATGGTGTGAATCTTTGTCGTCTGATTCCAGAGTTCTTTGTTTCATATTGCTTTTGTCCCCTAGGCATTTGATCTACATACTTTTTTAAATCTCATTCAAGCCCATGGGTATGAGGAATTGATAATGCTTGGCTCCAGATTGTATCCAATCCCTTTTAGCCTTCTATAGCCTCAACTTAGGTCGTGGGCAAACTGAAAATGCAAACAGTTTGGTATTTGGAGGAGGTTTCTGCTGGCTCAGTTCTTTTGTTTGTTATTTTTAATTCATACATCATCTATTTTATTCAGATATTGGTCTCATCACACATAAACCAAGATCACTCAAATAGTAAACCAAATACAATCAGATGCCTTCAAGCCAACGACACCACATTTGCCTATGACCACACAGATATAAAACCACATGCATGCCTCAGTGACCACCAAGCCATTCAGCAGAGCTTCCTTCAATGTGAGCTGTTGGAAGCTACCAGGTTGAGCACTACTGATGAGTTTATGCAGGCTCTGAATAGCCAGCTTTACAGATCTCACCAGGAGCTGGCGGAACCAGCTCTACCTTGGGACTGCCAAAATGTGGCCAACTAAAGCTTTCCAGTAAGTTACAGCCACATTTACTATCGCTGGAGCCTCCTCCACCAGATTGTGGACAAGTCAGGCTGTGGTTTTAGGAGGGCAAGCCTGACGACCCTAACAGGCAGCTGAACGCCATTTCTTGTGTGATTTTTAAAAGATAACTTTTTATTGTTTTAGTAGAATGTTTATACAGCAAGCTGTTAGATGCCGTTCAGTTGGTTCCAACTCATACTGACTTTTCATATACAACAAAGTGAAACCCTGCCAATTCTGCGGCATCTTCAATCTCTGCTGCCCTTCAGACCATTATCGTGGTG